TACACAAGGGAAGGATGGAGCACGGGGTTAGCGGAAGGGGGGCCTCAGAGATTCCCCAGAGCCCTCAGAGGCTCCCCAGAGCGCCGCCCTCAGAGGTTGCCCTGGGCCTGGGAAGGGCTGGGAGGAGGAGGAAGAGGAGGAGGAGGAGGAGGAGGAAGAGAAAGAGAAGGAGGGCCAGGAGCAGGAAGCACGCGGCATAACCAGACGGGCCCATCGGGCGGGTAGAGCGTAACAGGCGGGCCGGGCAGGCGGGCCGAAGCGGCCAGGTCGAGCAGGCGTGATGTGGAAGCATGAATACGGCAGGAATTGCTAGGAGAGCTCGAGCGACAGCACGATTCCAACGTAAACCGTGAAAAAGGCCAAAGCGAGAGCGCGAGTCCTGAGTGTCGAGGGCGCGGCGTCCGAATAATTGCGAGGAGATCCCACGCGAGAGCGCGATTCCTGTATCAATTGTGAGGAACTCCCGCGCGAAAGGGCGATGTGGGAATACAGTATGAGAAAGTATCAGGCGGGAGCCGTTGTTGCTGTATCTCGGTGGCCAGGGGCCCAGTTTGGTGACCCCTCGCTTTTCTTTGTTAAGAGCAGGGTGCGAGCCCCGGGGGGGAGGTCTTTATTTGAAACACACCATGTGCCCCGGAGGGGCGTGATCAATGGCAATCATGATTAAGAAATGAGAATCCAATAACAACAACACCAACGACAACCACACAACAACAGCATAGCAACACCACATTCAACAGCACCACCACCACCACTACCAACAACAACAGCCACATAACAACAGCATAACAACAACAACAACGCCAACAACAACGCCAGCAACAACAGCCTCAACACCACCAGCAACAACAACAGCACCACCGACAACATCCACAGCAAGAACAACAACCAACCAGCAACACATACCCCAACAGCACCAACACCACCACCACCAACAACACTAACAAACACAATAGCAGCAGCAACAACACCACCAGCCGCAACAACAATAGCAGCATCGCCACCAACAGCAACACCAGCAACAGCAACATCACCAGCACCAACATCAACAACCACACCATCAACAACAACAAACACCACCGACAACGACAATTCCAACAACGGCATCACCAACAACAGCAGCAATAGCAATACCAGCAACAACTACGCCATCACCAACAACAATAGCAACAACCACAGCAGTCGCAATGGCAGCAACAACACCAACATCAACAACATCAACAGCACCGACAACAGCAGCAACAACAACTGCATCAATCATTTCACCCTCATGCGCGATGCTTCCACACGAAGCATGCGACCATCCTGATAGCTTGATGACCATACCCATCATGGGGGGGTTATTTTTCTATAGCGGGGTCCGTTACTCCCATTCCCAGATCTCTTGCCCAATGAGGTCTTGCAAACACCTCCTCCGAGGAATTTCAACATATCCCGCCTCGAAAACGCATGCCCGCGCCTTGCTGCGCCGATGCGAGACCGCCAGTGGAGCCCCAGCCAAGGGTAAAGCACAAGGAAGTATCGAGCGACAGGATTGCCTTGGTGGGGATGGGGGCTGGCTGCAGCGAGGCAAGGACCTCGCCCTGAATAGAAAGGGAGGAAATCTCGAGCAGGGCCGCTGTTGTTGCTGGGAGCGGCGCCAATGCTGAAGAGAGTAGGGCGCTAGCCCAGCGTAAAACAAAACGAAGTCTCGAGCGGGAACGCTGGTTTTGTTGGAACGGCGGCTGTCGGGGACAAGGAGGAACACCGCCTTGAGTAAGAAGGGAGAAAGTCTCGAGCGGGAGCCGTGGTTTTGTCGGGGCGGGGGCTGTCGGCGGCGAGGACCAGCACCGCCCTGAGGAAAAAGGGTGGAAGCCTCGAGCGGGAGCGTTGTTCTTGTTGGGGGCGGCGCCAATTCAAAAGAAAGTAGGGCGCCAGTCCAGCGTAAAACGGGAGGAAGCCTCGGGCGGGAGCGCTGGTTTTGTCGGGACGGCGGTTTTCGGGGGCGAGGAGGAGCACCGCCTTGAGTAAAAAGGGGAGGAAGTCTCGAGCCGGAGCGCTGTTGTTGCTGGGGGCGGCGCCGATGAGAGAAAGAGTAGCGCGCCAGTCCAAGGTAAATCTGGAGGGAGTCTCCAGCGGTAGCGCTGGTTTTGTGGGGACGGCGGCTTTCGGCGGCGAGCAAGAGCACCAGCCCTGAGTAAAAAGGAGGAGGCCTCGAGCAGGAGCGTTGCTGTTATTGGGGAGCTGGTTTTGGCGCCCCCCCAAACCGCTCGAGCGTGAGCGTCATCTTCAATGAAAATGCAGCCGGCGCCGAGGCGAGAGCGCCAAAGCGCCTGGGGGGTCCAACAATAATAATTGTTTAGCAATTAACCTTCAACAGTAACACCAACAACAGCAACGACAACACCATCATCACCATCAGCAACAACACCACCAACATCAACAGCAGCATCAGCAGCAGCAACAACAACGCCATGAGGCCGGCAAAGAGCTTCAAGCACGAATTCTTATGGCTAGGTAAGAACCCCTATGCCAAAGCATATTTAGTGGAAGGGGCGTCCGAGCGAGGGCGAAGTGGTCGGCCAGGTGGTCCGCTGACGCCTCCAACTGGCACCGGTGTGCACGGCCACCCCTCCTGGCCATGAGTTGACCCGCGGCTGCCGCGAGGGGTTCGGAGCAACCCCAGCGCTGGAGGGGTACGATTGCGCTCTTCGTGTTGGGGCTCTCCACGGGATTCTTCCGCCTCCGAGTGCCACCTCCTGCTCCCTCCTCCGCGGCCATCCTGCCCGTCTCTTCCCCTCCTCTTGCGTTCTGGCCGATTCGCTTCTCGGAGCCCCCGTTCAGCTCCATCGTTGGTGCAGCCATTCTGCCTCGCCGCCGACGGGAAAAAGTGTTTGGGCTTTCCCATCCTGAAGTGCTCTTCGTTTATTGTGTCTCCGTTCGGCTGTTTATTGTGTCTCTATCCCCCCGACATGATGTGCATGGTCACCCCTCCTGGCCAGGAGCCGACATGCAGTCGGACCGAGGCATCAGATCGAGGTCGGTCGGGGGAGGGTACCGTAGCGCTCTTCGTGTTTGTTGGATGTTCTTGTGCACCATGGGGGAGGGTACCCTTGGATATTTCATTTGTTTGGGCCGACGGAGGGTCTCACGTTCTTGAGGGGTGCTATTCTGGCCGAGGTCCGACTGTACGGCTTTTGCTAGGGATTCAGAGCAACCCCGGCGCTGGAGGGGTACCAGTGTGCTCTTCGCGTTTGGGCTCTCCATTATAATGTGCCCTTCGCTTATGGCGTCTCCGCTCGGCCTTGGACATTCGGCGGCAGGGCCCGTCTACTTGGTCCACGTCCTTGTGGCCATGCTTCGACCGTGCGCCGCCAGGCATTCGCATTTGGGTTGGGTCCTGGGTTCGGCGGCGAGCCTGGGGGGGAAGTGAGAAGAAGAAGGCCTTCTCAGAAGGCTCGAAAGTCCCCCGGCCTTCTGAGGAGTTGTCCAAGCCTTCCCCGAAGACACAGAAAACTTCTCAGAAGGCGCTCCCGCCTCTGCGTGCCACTTTTATGGATCCCACAGGTCTCGCAGGTCCCACAGGTCTCGCAAGTCTCGCAGGCCCCACAGGTCCCGCAGGTGGCGCAGGTCCCACAGGTCCCCCAGGACCCCCAGGACAGACAAGTATCGCACGGCGTCTCAAAGGTACTACCGGTCTGACAAGTCTGACCGGTCCCACGGGTGTCGCAGGTCTCGCATGCCCACAGGTCCCAAAGGTCCCACAGGTCCCGCAGGTCCCAGAGGTCTTAGAGGTGTCGCATGTCTCACAGGTCCCACAGAGGTAACCCAGGTCCCACAGGTCCCGCAGGTTCCGCCTGTGCCACGGGTCCCACATGTCTCGCAGGCCTCACAGGTCCAACAGTTCCCACAGATCCCACAGGTCCCACAGATCCCCAGTTTCCACAGGTCCCACAAGTATCAGGTCTTACAGGCTCCACATGCCACAGAGGTACCACAGGTCGCACAGATCCCACAAGTTTCCCTCTTTCGACTGCGCATAACACGATGCGTTCTTCTGTGGAGCTCAAGGTCGGTTGTGACACGCGTCCGCGGAAAGAGGAAAAGTCTGCGCAACAGGAGGGGATGGAAGGGAGGGACAGGATGTCAGATATGGCACGAGCGCGCCTAGCTTGTCCTCCTCCCCTCTGCTCCCTCCCTCCTCCTCCCCTGGGGGCTTAGGAGGCTGCCGGACTGCACTGGGGACATCCGTAGCCGCGGCTCCAGACTCCTCGGCCGCGACCCCATGGACGCAGGGCGGCTTTGCTTACCAGCCTCGAACGTATCCCTATCCTTAAGATTGACACGCCAAAAGGCGATGACAATCTTAGGGATTCGCCCTCAAAAAATAAGGGAATCCCTAAGATTGGCATCGTGATGAGGAGGTGTCCAGCATGGGGATAGGGATATGTTCCAGGCTGGTAATTTGCGCAGATGCCCCGTTCGGACCGTATCCCTAGGGTCCCGTATCCATGGTGTCGTGCCTCGGTGCCCAGACCGCGCGGGTGTTGAGATGTTCGTCGCTCCTGATGGCTGGCGGCAGCATCTTCGTGCCCTCCCCCCTCAGGTCCGAAGAAAAACATAACGCCTCAGCGTGAACTGATGCAAGTCATCGAGGATTTCCTGGGGCGGCGCTGGACCCCGTCCCATGGCGCGCGCGAAGCGCGCCAGGGGCAGCGCCGGAGGCGCCGCCAGGTTTGGTCAAGCGCCGAGGCGAGCGGACATCCACAAGTGTACAGTTATACCGTCCTACCGCTTGTGTCTCGGCTATGGTTGGCAGGCAGCGGTGCTTCTCCTCTTCCTCGGCCTTCCTTCTTCCCAGCCTCGTGCTGGCACGCATTTGGCGTGGCTTTACCCTCTGGCACACATTTGGCGTCTCCGTTGCTCTCCTTGGCACGCATCTGCACGCATTTGGCCTGTACGCCCGTGTGTCCAAACGGATGCCCAGCTTGGTGGTGGAGCAGTGCTTTCTCCCCCCCCAGGTCTTGGAGTCCCAGCGGTCGCACATCATCCAGCGCATGAGCCAGCAGGTCGGACAACTCGACGCTATCTCCTGGTACGGGGCCTCGACGGAGGAGTCTTCCTCCGCACTAGGCGACGACAGCGATGACGAGGGCAGCGAAAGCAGCAGCGCATCGCTGTCCCGGAGTCCGTCACTGTCGTAGACAGGCCGCGGGGGGCGCGAATGCCCCACATCGTCCCGGTCGTCGCCGTTGTCTCCTTCTCTTCTTCCTCCTCGGCCAACTTCGCTCTGCCTGCTTTCTCCTTCTCCCCCCCTCCTATCTTCTCGTGCCTCCTCCACCCTCCTCCTCTCCTTCTCCTGCTCTCCCTCCCTCCTCTCCACCCTGCTGCACCTCCTGCTGGTCCTTCCTCTTCACACTCATGTGCACCCTCGTCCTGCTCCTCCTCGCCCTCATCCTCGTGATCCTCCCTCTCTCCTCTCTCCGCTCTCTCCTCTCTCTCCTCCTGCTCCTCCTCCTCCTCCTCCTCCTCCCTCCTCCCGACCCTGATCCTCCTCGTCATCTCCCTCCTCCCTTCTCCTACCTCCTCCTCGTCCTTGGCGTTCTCCTCCGTCGCCGCCTCCTCCTCTTCCTCCTCTTCCTCCTCCTCCACCTCCACCTCCTCCTCCTCCTCCTCCTCCTCCTCCTCCTCCTCCTCCTCCTCCTCCTCCTCCCTTCTCCCGACCCTGATCCTCCTCGTCATCTCCCTCCTCCCTCTCCTCCTCTTCTTGCCCTGCCGGTGGTAGGCAGTCGGCGACGCCGAGGTGCCCCCCTGCGTTCGGCGCTCGAGCGGGCACACCTGAGCGACGCGACGGCCCACCTCGACCCCTGCGCGACCCCTCGAGGCCCGAAGGGCTTTCGGAGGGCGGGCGCCAGGCGTTGCCCACCACGGGGCTGGACCTCAGCGGTGTTTTGTCGACTTCGTGGGCCGTTTTCGTTTCGACGTCGTTTTGCGGTAGAATCGGATCGAAGACAAAACGAGGGAACACGAAAACAAAACGAGAACGCAAAACACCGTTTAGGTTCAGCCCTGTTCCACCATGTGCCTCTCGAGGGAGGGTGGGGATGCGAGGGGGAGGAGGGCCCAGATGATGTTTCTGAAGATGATGCTGATGGTGATGCTGATAGTGATGATGATGATGATGATGATGGTGATGATGGTGATGATGGTGATGCTGATGACGATGATGACGATGATGGTGCTGATCATGTTGATGATGATGAGGAGGAGGAGGATGTGGATGAAGATGAGCATGAGGGTGAGGGTGAGAGTGCGGATGAGGATGGTGGTGCTGATGATGGTGATGATGATAATATTGCTGATGCTATGCTTGAGGATGGTACTGATGAGTGTGATGATAGTGGGGGTCAACATGATGACGATGAGGTTGATCGTCAGGGTGATGATGAGGATGACGTTGACGATGGTGATCTTAATGATTCTGATGGTCGTGAAGAGTTTGATGGTGGTGGTGAACATGATGACGTCTATGATGATCAGGTTTATCATGATGTCCACGATGAGCATGACGACCAGTAAAAGCATGGTGAGCATGATGATCGTGATGATGATCAGGAGGGTGAGGATGAGGATGAGGATGCTTAACATCCGCCGCTCTGCGGTTGATCGGGAGTTTCTGTATATATAGAAGAAGGGGCGCGCGCTTCTGGGCGAGAGGGAAACGACCGAGAGAAGAAGGGGCGGCCGCCCCACAGGACCTCTCCATGGTGCCGGAAGCCCATCAGGGCTCCCTCAGGGCCCCTCCCCCAGGGCCGGGGCTCCCTCGCCTGCCCCCTCCCCCTCCTCCTCCTCCTCCTCCTCCTCCTCCTCCTCCTCCTCCTCCTCCCTCCTCCTCCTCCTTCGCCCCCGTCGGCATATCCAGGCGTGTTATGCAGTCAGGTCGTCCGTCCGGAAACGGTGCCGGAGGCCGCTCTGGGCTCCTCTGGGCATCCCCCCCGGGGCCCGTTTTGTGAGGATGTCTCAGGCGAGGGCGCCGGTTTGGGATTCGTCACCGGATCCAGCGGATCCAGCGGATCCGTCCGGAAACGGTGCCGGAGGCCGCTCTGGGCTCCTCTGGGCATCCCCCCCGGGGCCCGTTTTGTGAGGATGTCTCAGGCGAGGGCGCCGGTTTGGGATTCGTCACCGGATCCAGCGGATCCAGCGGATCCGTCCGGAAACGGTGCCGGAGGCCGCTCTGGGCTCCTCTGGGCATCCCCCCCGGGGCCCGTTTTGTGAGGATGTCTCAGGCGAGGGCGCCGGTTTGGGATTCGTCACCGGATCCAGCGGATCCAGCGGATCCGTCCGGAAACGGTGCCGGAGGCCGCTCTGGGCTCCTCTGGGCATCCCCCCCGGGGCCCGTTTTGTGAGGATGTCTCAGGCGAGGGCGCCGGTTTGGGATTCGTCACCGGATCCAGCGGATCCAGCGGATCCGTCCGGAAACGGTGCCGGAGGCCGCTCTGGGCTCCTCTGGGCATCCCCCCCGGGGCCCGTTTTGTGAGGATGTCTCAGGCGAGGGCGCCGGTTTGGGATTCGTCACCGGATCCAGCGGATCCAGCGGATCCGTCCGGAAACGGTGCCGGAGGCCGCTCTGGGCTCCTCTGGGCATCCCCCCCGGGGCCCGTTTTGTGAGGATGTCTCAGGCGAGGGCGCCGGTTTGGGATTCGTCACCGGATCCAGCGGATCCAGCGGATCCGTCCGGAAACGGTGCCGGAGGCCGCTCTGGGCTCCTCTGGGCATCCCCCCCGGGGCCCGTTTTGTGAGGATGTCTCAGGCGAGGGCGCCGGTTTGGGATTCGTCACCGGATCCAGCGGATCCAGCGGATCCGTCCGGAAACGGTGCCGGAGGCCGCTCTGGGCTCCTCTGGGCATCCCCCCCGGGGCCCGTTTTGTGAGGATGTCTCAGGCGAGGGCGCCGGTTTGGGATTCGTCACCGGATCCAGCGGATCCAGCGGATCCGTCCGGAAACGGTGCCGGAGGCCGCTCTGGGCTCCTCTGGGCATCCCCCCCGGGGCCCGTTTTGTGAGGATGTCTCAGGCGAGGGCGCCGGTTTGGGATTCGTCACCGGATCCAGCGGATCCAGCGGATCCGTCCGGAAACGGTGCCGGAGGCCGCTCTGGGCTCCTCTGGGCATCCCCCCCGGGGCCCGTTTTGTGAGGATGTCTCAGGCGAGGGCGCCGGTTTGGGATTCGTCACCGGATCCAGCGGATCCAGCGGATCCAGCGGATCCGTCCGGAAACGGTGCCGGAGGCCGCTCTGGGCTCCTCTGGGCATCCCCCCCGGGGCCCGTTTTGTGAGGATGTCTCAGGCGAGGGCGCCGGTTTGGGATTCGTCACCGGATCCAGCGGATCCAGCGGATCCGTCCGGAAACGGTGCCGGAGGCCGCTCTGGGCTCCTCTGGGCATCCCCCCCGGGGCCCGTTTTGTGAGGATGTCTCAGGCGAGGGCGCCGGTTTGGGATTCGTCACCGGATCCAGCGGATCCAGCGGATCCGTCCGGAAACGGTGCCGGAGGCCGCTCTGGGCTCCTCTGGGCATCCCCCCCGGGGCCCGTTTTGTGAGGATGTCTCAGGCGAGGGCGCCGGTTTGGGATTCGTCACCGGATCCAGCGGATCCAGCGGATCCGTCCGGAAACGGTGCCGGAGGCCGCTCTGCTGCGAGGGCCGCGGCCCTTAGTAAGTCTTCGGGGTGTTTGCAACAGCTTGCAGGTAGCTTGCACTCGGCTTGCAAAGCGTTTACAACCTAGCAATGTTACTTGTAATCACGCGATCCTATTTCCACCCGCCCCTTATCCTTTAGCGTGTTTAGCGTCGGACGGACATCACTGTTAACCCGAGCGATCTTGGTTAAGCGTAATTCAGAGGGGGTGGAAAGCTTACATTGGGAAGTCGATTCGCGCGGTTAGCGTTCTCACTTACTTTTTAGCTTGTAAGGGGGGTAACGTAAGTTAGGGCTTGTAGGTTAGACGTGGAGTTAGCTAACCCAGCTATCCTAGTTAGGGGGTCGCACATTTCGGAGGGGACCATTCCGAATTTCGATGCAGCTGAGCCAATATTTGATTCGCGAACGGATGTTTTCTGGACTGTGTGAGTCAGGGGGTGACTAGGTGTATATCGATTATTTTCACGGTGATGGGGGGGAGAGGGATGCCACTCATCATCACGTAGCCGTTCTGTAGCCGTATGAGTTTCCTTTTTTTTGGTTGTCCAGTGAGAACTTCACGCATGGAGAAAACACTGCAAGCTTGCGGTGACACTATTACACAGATGATCGGACAGTTTTTAGGCGGCCAGTCAAATCACAAGCACACCCAGATCACGTCAGCCCTGAGCAACCTGAAGAAGATGCTTCTGCAGCACGACCTGGCGTATGAGCTCGTCATACCAGCGAAAAGCTTGAATTGTCATTTTCAAAATCGGCACGGTATCGGAGTTGACAGCGACGCAGTGCACAAGTTACTCAACATGATTATTTCAATTGGGTTTGATATTGAAAAGACTCGTGAATCTGTATGTTTCGAGGTCTCCAAAGACCCATCGAAGTTCAAGAAGCAAGTAGAGTTCAACAAAACACTTGCCACATCGAGCAGTGGAGGGCTTGCAGATGTGAACCCTGCAGACTGCAAGTATTTGACCGTTGCTGGCAGCCACACGTTGCAGCTGTTGCGGTGCATCATCTTCGGCTGTACGAGCGAGAACGAACACACCATTGACCAGACGGGCAAGATAGTCCAGGACGGAGGGGCGGCAACCAGCCAACAGCGCACGAGAGTCATAGTTTCGACCCTTGGGTTGAAACCGTGGCGCGCGTACGCTGTTGCTGGTCACCCCATCCGTCTAGGAGAAGGCGTTTGCCCTCTGCGACTCTCTCAGGAAGCCCTGCACCGAGGGGTACACGTGGTTTGTGATCAGGGCCGAGGTCGAGGAGGCGTTCCCAGAGCTGCCGACGCTGTTCGTGGAGGGCGGCAACGCAGACCACGGGACGAGCACCACCCAGTCGAAGATCCAAGCACTCTTGCAAGTTCACGGCATGGGCCAGAGGAATTTGCTGAGTTGCCAAAGCTACAAGTGGAAAGAGATCGAGCAGGCGATGGAGAAGACAAAACCACATTTGCGCGGCCAAGTTGGCGACATGATCGAGTTTCTGAAAGTGTACAGCGGTGGAGACAATGCACCGTTGCTGCAAGACGTCGCTGCATATGCGAAGTGCGTCGGGGATAAGATGCGCGACGTGCATGGGACCACGTTCAAGATGCTATCACAGGTGCCGTTCCTACAGGGACCTACCTTCATTGGCGCATGCGTGAAAGCATGCATGGTGTGCCCAGCGCAGTACGTCAAGAACGGGGTTAGCAAGCTCATCAGCAGCTCCGACTTCTCCTCGCTCAGCCAGCCCGCCAGCAAGCTGAAAGCCGACGCCCTGGAGATTTGCGCCGCCACGGAGGTCGCGGAGGCATGGCTATCAAAAGTACATGGCATCGACCCTGGAGTTTCGGCCAGGCTGATCGGGGACATGCAAGTGAGATCAATCATGACGTGCCTCAAGAAAAAATCGAAATCCACGAAGAACTACGAGACACTGAATGAGGTCCACGCGCTGTTCATGGTGGATGCGCGGGCGGCGCAGCCGCAATGCATGGAGGTTAAGCCGACTCCGTTCGAGACCGAGGCCGAGGAGGACATCAACGAGCGCAGGGCCGCGTCCGCTGGCGTCGCCCAGTTCTCCAAGGGCGGCGCGCTGAGCGACCGCGTGATGCAGAACAATGGCCTCGTTGTTGGTAAGAGGGTGCGGCATAAGACTGACCACAAGACGGTGCGCGTCATCCAGAACCTCGAGAGCGGCAAGGCCACGCTCGTGAGCCAGGAGTGGTGGGACGAGGACATGCGTCGGCGGAAG